AAGGTTAGTTAAGAAATCAGTATCTTTATCTTTCAATATAAGCTCCTCCTGAAGATAAAGATGAGAAAAATATGAGTCATGTTCAAGAAAGACAGCATTTGCAAACCAAATTTTTTTTTAGATGGATAGTAACGTTTGTATATCTTTTGAGAAATACATACTTTAGGACTCCAAGATCAAGTTTTTTCCATTGATGTGAATGAATATGAATAAAGATTACACATCCGAATATCTGTTACAGCAGATGGTTTGTGATACTTACTCCTTAGTGGAATGTGGAAAGGGGTTCTAGAGGGTTTTTGAAATCTGGAACATTTGAGGATAAGCAATTAAAGGTATGTGCATATGTAAGCATTGCTTCACCACAATACGTATTAAGATGTAGTTTTGGAATAAAGTAACTCTAGTGATCGCAAGAAGTTTATCTAAAAATAAAGTCGCAAGAAGTTGATTATTCTTACATTGTACCACTCCATTGGTGGAAAAAGGAGAAGAGTGTGTGATTAAAAAGTCTTTGGTGTTTCTAGTGCGTAACCGTTTTATGTAGTTCTAAATTGGATTTTGATCATATTGCAAAACTAGGACACTATATGGTTGACATTTGAGTTAGATTTGAGTAAGAAAAAATCATGTAATTCTAATGTAATCATCAATAAATGACACAAACGATCAAACACCAGAAATATTTAGAATGTGAAATGATCCCCAAGTATCGCTATGAGTTTAAGAAAATGGAATCATACATTTTTTATTGTTGATAGGAAATTTTACATGCATATCATATGTAAATAATAGAGGAAATACAACATTCAAAACGAAAAGGATGGATGTCAAAGTCTGTTGTGATAGAGCCAAAACTTGTGGTTAAGATTGGTAGAGATAGCAGAGAGAGATCCACGAGGTGCATGCAGGTAGTACAATATGTTTATGGTCTTAGCACATTCAATCATCTTATATGATTTCTAGCCTTAAAGGTTATAATGAGAAGAAAAAAATGTTACTTTGGAGTTCAAATCTTGTGATAATCTAGTTACTGATGTAAGGTCTATATAGAGTTTGGAAACATTTAAAAACATTTTTTAGAACTAAGTTAGAATTAAGTTTGATGTTGTTCTTGCCTGCAATGATGTTTAGAGAACCATCTGCAAAGACAATTTTCCTACTATTAAGACATTGAACATACGTGTGAAAGTATTTGGAAGTATTGTCATATGATCATGCTCTCTAAGTCTACTATCCATGAATTTTCAAATAGTCTATTTGAGACACTTAAACCATGTGAGAAAGAAAGTGTACCTGAGTGCTTCATCCAACCTATACCTATGGGTTTCTCAAGATCCTCTAGTATGCATTGTAGTTGTTCAATCGACTTTGAATTTATTAAGACCAGTGGGTTTATCCTCTTCCTTCTGGTTGTCATAGAGTTTCCAATATTTGTTTTTGGTGTATTTGAATTTCTTGTAAAAGGTATACGCAAGATTATCCCTGTTGTCGGCACAAGGCCTGAGTTTTCTTACCTGGCTTAGTTTCCTTGTTGGTGGTTTAGAGCTTTTGGAGATCAGTACTGAGCTATTAGTGGGGCAAGATTTCAATATGACAGTCTCCTGCTTTCTTTTGCAATTACAATAGCAATTACCTAACTTAATGGTGTCATTTTGTTGTTGTCAAATATTTGGAACCTTACTTGATCAGACTCCTGGTTGAGTCTTACTAGAAACAGATAGGCACAATCTTTATCCACAAACTACTTGAGGCGGGCTGCAATACTGCAATCTATAGTAAGGATGCAATACAATTCCTACCACTAACCTTTTTACATGTTAAACTATTCAGTGACTAACCTATTTTCCTACTTTTTGGACCATGTTTGATGTTAGGTCATAAATTTGGGTGGCATATTTGAATTTAGAATAAGCTTCCCTGATTGCATCTCACACTTCTTTCACTGTAGGCAGGAACATAACTCATTTACTTTTTTCTGGTTATATAGAATTCCATAGTCAAGTCATAATCTTTGAGTCTTCCTCATTTCAAGTATCAAAAGGTGGATCTCCTGATCTTTGTCCAGTACTGAGGAGGTGGTTGAGCTTTCTTTTTTTTTCTTAAGAGTACTTCGAATTAATTGTGAGCAACTCAAGTTGTCATTTTCAGTGAAACAATAAGCAACTTGGATTGGCTGAAATTTGCTTTAGTTTAAAGTGAAATTTTTTGTGGGAATTTGTTCCAGTAATTTGGGGTATAACATTGAATATATATTTTAAGAACTTTAGAGTAATTAAGGTCGAACGAAAAAGTCACGGAAGGATTTTACCGGCTGTACTGGAGGCAGTGCTGCTGATGGAGGCTGGCTGGTGCAGTGGAGGAGATGATTGAGTGCGCAACTGTGTGCCTTGGATTGCTTGGAGCGGTTGAGCAGGAGGGCAGCGTGCAGCTGGTGGCAAAAGGTGGCTCATGGGTTCTGGTAGCTGGACAGGCGGGTGCATTGCAGGAGGTGCCGTGGCTGGCTGTGCTGATGCAGGTCTGGCCACTTGCAGGGTCTGATGCCGCCAATGCTGGCCGGCTTTTGGTGCTGGAGGTTGGTTTGTGGTGGCCGGCAATAGAGGCTGGCACCTTAGATTTTTTGTGTCTTATTTTGGAAATGAATGCTGATTAGGATTTGTGAAGGAGGCTTAAGGTTTTTTCCTAAAGCTCAAATACCCATGTTAAGGATGGTTAAAAGTGGATTTTGTTGAATAACACAATCTTATATATATAGTTTTGTAGAATAGAAAATTAAATAGGTAATTAATTAAATAAAGTATAATTTATCCTTAAGCGCTCTTTTTTTTTTGAATAAATTTATCCTAAAGCTATTTAACCTAATTATATATAGTGCACTCTCTTTAACAGTTTCAAACATTAAGCTTTTTGGTTAAGGGTCATCCTCTTTCTTCTTGAAGGTCTTGGGGACCTCATAAATATTTTGTTTTATATGTAAATTTTATATATGAGTTGCACCTTCTTGATGCTTGTTGCTATATATTTTATTTTTTCTTTCAAGAAAATGTATATACACGTGCAGAAGTGGATTTTTTTATAGTCTATCCCTGTTTGCCTTTATTATTTGGCTTTTTTATGCTTTATTTTGTAATGGCATACAATTTTGAACACTACTTCTTAGATGGGTTAGTGGCTCGATCGGTTCGTGATTGTTCTTGTTCTGAAGGAATTCTTTACCATATGCTTGCAGTGTTATGAATCTGTTGGCAGAAATCTATTCACAGGAAGAGATGATTCCTAAATCAACAGAGAAACAGAATTTTGATCTAAATGAAGTGGTTCATGTTGATGATAGTGGAGAAGGAAAAGATCTGCAGGAAAGTCCTTATATGTTATCTATGTTGGCACCACGATTATGGCCTTTTATGAGGCATAGTATAACATCAGTCAGACATTCAGCTATTCGCACCTTGGTAAAACTTTTCTTTCTTGCTTTGTTATTTTTTATTTTGTATGGTATATACCTCTTGCATTTATGTGGTAAACTTACTGGATTCTTTATCATATATTCATGTCAAGTCATGAAAAATAGAAGAGCAATAAAAGAACTTTCAAGGGCATTTGAGAGTGTATGCATGTTGCTGTTCCCCTTTTATTAAAATTAGAGATCATTAGTTTCAAACCCAATGCTTTTTTGTTTACTGGGTTATCTCTCTCTTCCAAAAAGGATTTAGGGGACTTGATTTACATCTTGACAAACTTGTAATGCATTCTTTTCTATGCAGATGGCAGTCCGTTAGTTCTCTGTTTATAGAACCCTTTGTTTTGTTTTCCCTTAAAAACCTTTCGACATTATTTGCTGTTCTTTTAATAAAACTGGAGATTTTTGGTTTCAATCCCTTTCTAATGTTGCTAGGGTTTTTGGTTTCAATCTCTTTCTAATATAAGTTTCGTATACAGGTGGCACCCTCTTTGTGCCTTTTGAATGAAGGCTCAAAATGACAAAAATTGTTTGCTGATAAATCTCAATCTCAATCTCAATGGTGTTTTAGATTTTCTTTCTATTGGAAAAGACGGTCCTCTCTTCATATTTATTTCTTATGCAAAGAAATTGGAAGGCCGTCAATGTTAAAATTTACCATCTATACATCTTTTGTTTTCTTGTTTATCTTTGCTCTTTGTTAGAGGACGTCTTGTTGCTTTTTATTCTCTTTTTCTTGTTTATCTTGTCTCTTTGTTTCGGGTTTAATTATTAATTTTGCAAAATCTGAGTTTGTGTGGCTGGATGATCGGGTTGAAAGAGATAATCTGGCTAAGATCATGGGTTGTAAGGCAGTTGAGTTATCTATAAAATATTTGGGATTATCTTTGGGTGTGAATTACAAATGCAAACAAACATGGGGACCAATTGTAAACAGATTTGAACAAAGGCTTGCGGGATGGAAGAGTAACTTACTATCGAAAGGGGGGAAGATTAACCCTCGTAAAGAGCACTTTAAGCAATCTGCCGATATACTATCTTTCCCTTATTACCATTCAGGTGAGTATAGTTAAAAAACTGAAAAGTATACAGTGCAAGTTTTTTTGTGGCCATTATGTGGAGCACAGAAAATTCCATTTGGTGGCCTGGAATGAGATTAAGAAACCTATGAAACTGGGCAGGTTAGGGGTGAGATTACTGATTGAAATGAATCGAGCTTTGCAGGGGAAATGGTTATGGAGATTTATGAATGAAGAAGGGACTTTATGGAGGCGTATTATTGCTGCAAAAGTTGGGGTTGAGGATAGGGGATGGTTCTCGGGTGGGTTGATGCGTGGTGATGGGCACAGTTTATGGAAAAAAATTGGTGCAGGGAAGGAGAATTTTCTGAGATGTATTAGATGGCAGGTTGGGCAGGGAAACAGATTGAATTTTTGGACAGATAACTGGTTGGAAGGTGGCAGTTTAAGGAGGCAATTTCCAAAAAATTTTCAATTGTCCA